TCTGAGCACTTACCGAGCTCTCGTCAAAGCAACATTAGTTCTCTAAGGACTAGACAAGAATCCAATGGAACCATCATTATTAGATCTTACAGTAGATACAATTATGATATCTTCTTCTCCTCCTTGAAATCCGTCGATGGACTTGACTGTGACACTAACCTTCTCATGGTTTTCAAGCCTGAGCTTATCTTGAATTGCCACAACTTGAGCAGCATAGGGTGATCTTACACTGATGCTAAGTTTCTCCTTCGATTTGTTCCATGCTGCTTATAGTATACAAAACAGATAGTTGTCAATGTGATGGATGCCTAAAACCATGGAACTCAACCACTTTCCACAAAAAAAAATGTGTATCTATGAGATTTTTCCAATTGCCTAAACATTGAGTTTTTATCAAAGAAGCTAAAAAGTATGATGAGAGCATTTGCAATAATTGGGTCTATGGCATTCCTAGTGGAGTCATAGCATAATCATACAATCATGCTCAATTCAATAGAATTGATATCTTCTATAATTTTGCATGTGTGGTGATTTCTTTGTTTTCCCCAGAAACATTTAACTTTTCACTTGAACAACTCCTTTAGGAAAAGTATTTTCCGATAATTTTAAGAAAGAGAACATGGAGATTTTATGAAATAGATTCCCTAACAATTTGTGCAATTCATATCTTCATGCTTCTATTATGTTCCTTGCTTGATTTCCAGTAAAAACTACGTAGGGAAAGGGACAAAGACCTTGTACAACGAAACACTTCTTGCATTCCTAAAATTTTGAGGAACAAAAATGATAAGTTGTCTGGGGTGATATTTAGCACACTCAACTTGAACAATTGGTATATTCACACTTTTACTGTAGTGAAAATATTGAATATATATAGGCAAGTGGACACGAAGTAGGTAACCAAGAGATATTTAGTACAAATAGAAAATAACGAAAAAGAGAAGCCATTCTATCAACTTAGCATACCTTGGAAGAGTTTGTGCACTATCCTCACTGTTACAGCAACCTCAACCATATTTCTTCGACTATGGCTAACAACATCCATTTCTTCTCTTCCTCCAAAAACATTTATGAATGAATAGGGACCATACATCCTCCCCGGTATATAGCTTTCTTTGTAACTTTTACCCTTGACATTGGTTGCATCTAACATTTTGTTGTGGTAGAAATTTTTATTTGGGAAGCAGCTAATTAATGGATGCGTTCTATATTGCATATTCAGAAAATGCTTAGGATGACCAAGTGAGCTCAGTCTTCCAAATAAACTTCTTCCAAAGCCAGCTTCA